CTGAAGGCTATGACCTTTCCAGCTATCCTTTTATTTTTCTTGTTTGCTTGGGGAACAGTCATGCCTGGAATGAGTGTCTTGTGGAGTAATCAGTTCTTGTAAGTCCAACAGTATGTTAACTTACTGCTCATGCTCTGCCTATATGTATGGACCGGTAATTTCCATTTCATTGTATCTGAAGAAGTGTGTGTGCACACGAAAGCGTATACCTTGAATAAAACTTTGTTGATCTGGACTCAAACTTATTTGTTTTAGAAGGTTTGCTTTTCTTTCAGTACCACCACTTCCCTGAAGGTGGTGCTTCTTCAGCTTTTAACTACTTGCAATAAACCAGACTCCGCAACAGAGGTCTGGTGTCTGTCACAGCACCATAATTTTTTGTAGTTTTCTGCTGAATTTGTCCACTGAGGAATGCAAGACCTGCATTCTTAATATTAAGAACATCACGGGTAAGAATAAAAGGGAACGAGGAGCTATATTATGGGGATCAGGTGTTGTATAAAAACATAAGAATTGCCTAGCTGGATTGCACCAAAAGCCTACCCAGTCCTGCATTATGTCTCTGACAATAGTTAGACAGATAACTTTGGAACTTCATAAGTAGTGCATGAAAGCAGCAATGGCTCTGCCCCGTTGTCTGCTCCCAACACTTGGAGTTCAGAGATACACTGCCTCTAACCATGGAGTGTTTTTTTCCCTTTTATGTTGTGTGTGGGAGAGAAAAATATATATTGTTAAGACATGGCTGTTCTTTTAGATAATGGTTTATATATATTTAATATGACATTCATTTCTAAGTGGGTGGAAACAGGAAAAGGGATACTGTCTTTTAAAATCACAATATCTTAATTTCTAAAATACTGTTCTCAACTCTACTACATTTTCTTTCCTTCTTTCACCACTATTTGTTTTATCAATGGGATGTTCTGACTGTTTCTATCTTTCCTTTTACCCTCACTAATAAATAGATGCAACCTGCCAGTGCAGCAGCAGAAGGAATAGGAAAACAGGATGCTGGAACAAAGAGCACTGTGCATAAGGCAGCATGATGCAGATTGTATTTCTTGTTGAGGGGTGATTTTGAGTGGTCAAGACTTGGGAATAAAGGTCTGAAGCAAGTGCTTTACCTTTTTTAAAAAAACACCCAAACCAAACCAAAACAGTCATCTGGGAAAAGAATTGTGGAACCACAATAGTTTTGCTCTAAGACTGAAGTCTTAAATATACTTACTTCAACAGAAGTGGAAGTGTGAATGTGGTAGGAGTGGGAACATAAGAACATAACAGAAGCGATATTGGATCAGGCCAATGGCCCGTTTGGTCCAACACTCCATCCCACCGTGCACACACCCATGATTTCTGTTCAGCTGACAGTCATACATGTTGCATTCACTGCAATACACTGGATAGCCTCCAACCCCCCTGCTAGTATTCTACCTCCATAATTGCTTTTTATCTCCCTTTTAATAAAATTCCTATTAATGTAGATTTGTTTGTGAAAAGTGTGCTTACCCTTTTTAGGGATGTGGAGAGACTAGTGTCCTGGCTTCCTCATGCTGCTACTGACCTTGCACATTCGCTAAATTTGCCTGTTTATTTCCCTGTTCCAGACACTTTGTCATTGAAGCAGGGCCTGCTATTTTACAGAGCTGAAGCCTACTCATAGGAACCCTAAATAAATAGCTTGGGCCAAAGAATCCACCCCTCACTGGAGCCAATCACACTGATTTGGAGCTAACCAATGAAGGAGGATGCCATGAGAAGCTTCAATTGCCTGTTTCCACACATTAAACCATTATTAAAGAGACATTCTGTCTACAGGCCTGTTGGCAATCATATCCCTGCCTCACAATACTTTTTAGGTGAATTCACAGTAAAATGGAGTTATGATGTTTAAGGGGTGTGCTTGTTTTTGGCACAGATGTACATGCCATATACACCCTCCCACAACTCTATTAAAAGGAAAGCATTACAGAGGACCATGAGTGGAGATAGGTGTGGGGCAGAAAGGTAGAGCTTAGGATGGAGCTATGGTGTAACTTTGAACCCCAACACTTCTGCAAAGCATCAACCATCAATGTACCATAATACCCTCCTGTGTCTATCTCAGCAAAGAAAATCAACTAGAGCAACCTTAATGAAGTTTCTGCCCCCCAAACAGATTGATGTGGATCCTGGTTTCATGTATGAGTCCATGGAGTTGTTTCACCACTACTGTTTCAGGCACTTGGCCACTATGGTGAAATTTCAGGCACTTTGCTCTAAACAGGCATTTGATCTACCCCTCTAGTTCCCAAGATGAAGACATTTAAGTGATGTTTTCTTTTTCAGTAGACATCTGGCCTTCTTGCAGAGGACAGGTGGCATTATGACTGGAGAGCACTGTTAATTCAGAGTATATTTTAGAGCAGTAATGTGGGTTTTCCAGAAAAAAAATGAACTGGGAGATTCTCCACTGTCCTATGGCCAAACACATTAACATATGGAAAGTATGGGATATGGAAGATATTAGTATCTATAGTAAGTCACATATCCCAATCCTTGTTAATAACCTGGAAGGGCATCTTGCACCATTAACGAACTCCATGAAATTAAAAGATGCCTGCTCCTTGGGAGGAAAGCTATGGCAAACCTAGACTACATAATAAAAAGTAGAGACATCGCCCTGCTAACAAAAATCCGTATGGTGAAAGCCATGGTATTCCTAGTAGTAACATATGGCTGTGAGAGTTGGACCATAAGGAAGGCAGAGCTTTCGAATTATGGCGCTGGAAAAGACTCTTGAGAGTTCCTTGGACTGCAAGATCAAATCAGTCAATCCTAAAAGAAATCAAACTTGACTGTTCCCTGGAAAGCCAGATACTGAAGTTGAAGCTCAAATACTTTGGCCACCAAATGAGAAGGGAACACTCACTGGAGAAGACCCTGATGCTGGGAAAGATTGAAGGTAACAGAAGAAGGGGATAGCAAAAGATGATGCAACAAACATTAAATTAAGCAAATTCCGGAGGACGGCGGAAGCCAGGCGGGTCTGGCGTGACCTGGTCCATGGGGTCGCGAACAGTCGGACTGGACTGTGCGACTGAACAACAACAAAAAATCCAGCAATCCTGCAATGTTCTCTCCTTCACTTCGGCACATACAGGAAGTGTCGATCCATTACGCCCGATGGACTAACGCGGAATTCTCGAAGGAAAGTCCAAGACACTGAAATAAAATTTATTAATATTTTGCTAGGCTCGAAGTGTAAACACGGCGCTACCCAAGCTTCCGGTCCGTTGTACTCGTTCCTGATCAGTACTGCGGGGGAAAGGAAACGGGAAAAAAGGAACAGACGCTAACCAATCATATCTGCAGACATGTCAGCCAATGAACTCCACGGAAGGAGGAGCTGGGGCAGCCAATCAGGAAACAGCAACGGTGACACAGCCTCTACCATTCTTCCGACTGCCCGTTACCCCTCAGCGGCGATTGGTGCCGAGATGGGGCAAGAGTAGGCGTTAGCGCCCTCTCCCTCCCGGCTTCGCCCACGCGCCATGCTGATCACGCTTTGCTACTTGTATCTTTGGGCGCGTTGGGGGACCTACTCGGTGGGGCTGATCCGTCGCACAGTGCGCAGACTACATCGAACTCGCTGCTCTTTCACTTTCTCCTGCTCCGGGTGCCCTCGCCAAACACTGCACCAGCCCCATCGTCTTCCCCCTGGCGGGAAGGAGGCTCCCCGCCTTCCCGGGGAGAGAATCTGCCTCAGGGCGGGGAACAAGGTTTTCTTCACTGACGAAACCCAGGTGTGATGTGGGAGGGTATGAGGTAGAAGGGCTGAGTGGGCAGAGTTTGGGAGAAAAGCGGCGGGGAGGTTCATGAGGTAGAAGGGCTAAGTGAGTAGCGTTTGAGAAGAAGGGGGGGGGGCTTATATTCTTGCACTTGTATCCTGTGAATAGGTTCGTTTTCTTTCCCCGGTGACTGAGGATCGGTTCCTTCGAGAGCTGCATGAGAGGGGGATATTAAAAGAGTCAGCTCTCCTCTCCCGGCCTGGAGAGAGAATGAAAGGGAAAGATGTACCTGTTTAATTTTTCTCTTTGTAACATTGGGTCTCCTGACACCTTATGTGTTAGTAACCCCCTTTCCCCTCCTAATTATGTAGCCAGATGATATGGCCTATCCAGGTTGTGTTTCCATGGTTTTTATCATATATTTTGCAATTTAAAACGCATGAAAAGTCCTTAGTAGAAAGAAAACTTGCATGGCTAGGTGTTAGCCAGAACACTAAGCAGTGCTCCCAGTAAAGTCTGCTGTCTTTGTGCAGAATCACAGTGCCCAAAATCTGAATGGTGGTGATGGAAGGTGCTGTCAAGTCACAGCTGACTTATGGTGACCCCGTAGGGTTTTCAAGGCAAGAGACCTTCAGAGGTGGTTTGCCATTGTCTGCCTCTGCGTCACAACCCTGATATTCCTTGGATGTCTCCCATCCAAATGCTACCAACGATTGACCTGCTTAGCTTCCAGGATCTGATGAGCTCAGCCTAGCTTGGGCTGTCCAAGTCGTCTGACTAGCCTTGCAGAATTCAAGCTTTTCCTGAGTGGAGAGGGAGTGATGAAAAAGCTCTGCTTGTTGATTTCTAGGACCTGCTATTAATTCATTATACAACACTGCCCCTACTATTTGTATGATCTTAAGTCTGAACATGTTGGGAGCTGAGATTTTCCCAGCACTAGTTAGAACAGTTTCAGAGCTCATTGCTTCTAGCAAGTGACATAAATTGTTGCTGAAAAGACAGGGCTGACCCAGAGTGGAAATAATTGAACTGCTCTTTTGATATACTATGTCAAGTGACATGTGCAGTGTTTCTAAGCGCAAAACCTTTGCCAGATTATACAGCAGACTAAATTTCAGTGTGAATCTTCACACTCCTCACCTTCAGAGCTAGTGTGGATGAAGAGGCTAAGGCTATGAGGGGGGAAATAACTGGTTTAACTCTAACATCAGGGAAAGAACTAAACTTGGTGGCACCAGGCAAATACTATATTCTGGCTGCTGTCACACGGAGCATTAGCCACGCTACAGAGATGGAAGATAGGCGGATTTTCCGGGTACAATCACAGCGCCACATCTGGGAACCGTAGAGCTCCCGTGGCGAACCCGAGGCTTCCCGCCGAAGATGTGGGGTAAAAAACTAGTACCTTTCTGGAAACCGCGGGGCAAGGGCGGGTGCCTGATCGCGTTTCCGGTGGTAGGTCGTGGCATCCAGCGTCCGCCCATGTCCCGTTGCTAAAAGGTTTTTTTCCCAAGTCTCCATGGGATGCGCACAAGCACCCAACGGCGCATGTGCACACTGCATTTAAAAACAACACAGCCCCCTCCTCTTTTCCGTACCCCCCCCCCCACTCCTGGCTCGGCCTGCTCGAGAGGAACTCTCTGCACCGGGCGGCAGAGGGGGAGGTGCAGGGGGGGTGTGGCGGGAGGGCAGCCTGGCTGAAGCTCCTCCTGGAGGGGACCGGACAGAGGACACAGTTTGCATTCCTCTGCAGCCCTGGAAGGGGTTAAACTCGCGGAACCTTTTGCTAGAGAGGCTACTTCTTTGCCGCGCCTCAGGATTGTCCTGTGATTGGCACCTCCCCCCTAACCACGGGACCTCTACGGGACGTCTGATCGCACAACTGCACGTTATTTTGCTCTGGGGCAAACAGCCACGCTTCCCCCCCGCATTTTCCTGCCCGTGTGACCGGGGCCTCTCTTACTTTTTGTTCCTCCTCCTCCATGCAGTATATAATACTGGCTTACCTTATAAGGTTGATATAAGGATAGCGTATATGAAATATCTGAATACTTGAGGGAGTTGTGATATAAATGCTAAGCATTTTTCACTTCATGCACATATGGAGCAATCCTAAGCAGGTGTAATTAGAAATAAGTTCCAATGTGTTTTAGACCCAGGAAAAGGTATTTAGGATTGTGCTGGTAATTACAGTTGAAGGTAACTTGAGTGGGATGTAGATGATTGTTAAAATATTAGACAAAATTGCCAAACAATGCTAAAATAGTTTAAACTCATAAGTGTCTATGAAATTTATGTGTGAATTGCCCATCAGTTCTATACTTTTGACTCAATAAAACTGTATCACATGCCTGGCATCTTTGTTTATCAACTGCAGTCTCCTGAGAAGTGCTCAATGGTGTTATCCAGTGTGGTGTTAGTCCCTAAGCCTATGAGTCCTGTGGGATCTCCACATTTATGCTGAGCCCCCTGTACTGTGCAACTCAAGACTTCCTGGTTGCCATGACAGCCATGGACCTTTTCCAGTGTCTGTTGTAGAGGTGGCCAAACTTACTTAACATAAGAGCCACATAAAATAAATGTCAGATATTTGAGAGCCACAAGACATGAACAAATATTACACACATGTTTTTATTGGAAAATATAGAAATTTGCTTTTTATTAACATTAAATGAGAATGCCAGAAATTAAAAACAAAAGGGGTAAAAACAGATATTGATAATTATATTTATTTGTCCAATGATATTTTTTTGCTAAGGATATTTTATTTGTCTAAGAGAGAGAGAGAGAGAGAGAGAGAGAGAGAGAGAGAGAGGTGGAAAGAGAAAGAAAGAAAATAGATAGGGGAGGAAGAGAGAGACAGAAAGATGAAAAGAAAGAATTTAAAGTTAAAGTTGCATTCTTTCTCTGCCCCTCCCCCACCTCAAGCCTACCCAGGGAGGGGAACACTGGCTGGGAAAGGGAAGACCGATCATATGTGTGAAGAGGCGCATGCGGCTCCCAAGCCACAGTTTGGCCACCCCAGGTCTATTGAGTCTAGCAGGCCATGACTGGCATTTTGTACAGCATGTGAGAATCTGTGGTTGGAGAAGTCATTAATGAATCCTTTGTCGTGAACTTGTCATTAGCTGGTGAAATATAGTAATAAGAAATTTGTTATATGACTTTTGTGTGTGTTTATAGTAATAAGAGCTAAGCCCTTGGGATAAAGGGAAAGTAAACTTTTCTCCACATTTGTTGCTATGTCACTGTTTTCTCCCCCCAGTCCCTTGATGATTTAAACCAATGGACATTGCTCATTGTATCGCCTCCCATTTATCCTGACAAAATATTTGAATCTGAACATATAGCATTTCTGACTGAAAGTATTTCCACTCAAGCAGGCAGTTCACAGGCTATAACAAGCTCAGCAGAAAAGGTAAGTTTTTAAAACCACTTTTTCTTAGAAGTCTAGGCAGTAAATTGTGTAGACCTGATGTGGTATAGCAGCCAGAGTGTTGGACTTACATTGGGAAGATTGTCCCTGCAGGATAGTCAAAATCATTGGGTTATCTTGAGCCAATAATTTCTCAGCAAACCTATCATGTCTCACAGAAATGTCTTGAAAATAAAAATAAAGGCTCTTTTATACTACTTAGTGGTAGCAGCGGTGGCTGTACCATGAAAGGATCTCAGTAACTTCTAGGAAATACCTTTTTCTGCCGGAGAACTAGGAAAGTTTCTATTAAATTCAATGCTGTATAATTGGACCAATAGTTTCACTCAGTTATAAGGGATATCTACCCCATATTATTTAGAAGAAAGATGGGATAAAATGTAATAGATAGTAAAATAATATATTTTTGTTTTAAAACATTATTTATATTGCATAAAAAGCAAACAAATGGTGAAGCCAAATTATCAGTGCAATTTTATGCAGAATTACTTAAGCTTGTACCCATTGATTTCAGTGGGCATAGACAGGTAACTCTATTTTGGACTGTAGTGTTAAATTGTTAACTTATAATAACAAAAGCATGAGGGACAACATGGGAGAATTTCCCAGAGCATTTTGTCTAAAGTCACATACAAATTCCTGCATTCCAAGTTCTCAATTGTGTCCTTGTTTGCCTTTGTTAGGAATAGATGGAATGTATTATTTTATATGAACTTACTTACAAGATTTGTATCCTGCCTTTTGGCCCAGACAGGGCCACTAAGGAGGCTAACAATTAAAAGCAGAACATTATAAAGCCCATCATAAAATCATTTAAATCCACAAATAAAACATGCATAAAACCAGCTGTTAAAACTTAGGGCAGGAAGAAGTCATTAAGGGAGTGCCTAAAGAAACAAGTCTTCACCCACTGGCAGAAGACAGTGATGGAGGGGAAAAGACAAATATGCCTGGGGAGGGATTTGTGTTTCTGTTTGATATTTCATTGGAAGAAATTGGTATAATTTCTGTTGTGTCATTAGAGGTATTGTCTGATTTCTGTCTTGAGATTTATAGCTCTGGAGGATACAGTTCTGTAGCAACTGTGATTTGTAAACTTGAATTATAACTTTTCAGTATAGGAATGTCAGCTCCTTTTTTGGAAAAGCCCTTTGAATGTTTTGACTATGCAGATTTTTGTTATATCTTGTAAACAATGCTGTGTGTATATATATATTCCCCCCCTCCAGCTCGTGAAGTGGTCAGATTACTGTTCACCATTGGCATTTAAACCCGGAGAACCTTACGTATTATTTGCTGAAGCCAGTATAGACAACTTCAGTAGCCTTGGGATAGCATTTATGGAAGATAGACTACAAATGGATAATGGAATGGTACCTCACAAAATTATGTGTAAGTATTATTACAAAGAAATTGTACCACAAATAGTGCAGTCCTAAACAGAGTTACATCCTTCTAAATCCATTTAAATTAGTGGATTAAGAAGGGTGTAACTATTTAAGATTGCCATGAAAGGGGCTTCCATCAAATAACTCATGGTAGCACCCTGTGCAAGAAAATGGGCAATGTCTATCCTGCAGCACTGCCTGTTAATTACAATTCTATTTGTATTAGTTATCAAGTGCATGTATTTAAAAATGTTTAAGAATCCATTCCTAATCCATCTCTTACCCAAGAGTATGTGTTGTCATTGTCAGCTTCCAACCAGTGTCCCCTCTAAGATGAGTTAGTGTGAGCTAGTTCACAGAGTTTTTTAGTCTCTGACTCACACATTTTGTCTTAGCTCAGGACGGATGGCTCCAGAGCAAACTAATTTATGCAGTAGCCAAATAGCTCACTCAAAACTTTAATGCCAGTAGCTCATAAAGTAGAATTTTTGCTCACGAGACTCCACAGTTTAGAGGGAGCATTGCTTTCAACAAAACACATTAATGATTAAATATGTAACATGTTTACTGGAATAGTTATAAGTGGTTTCAGTGTGACTTACTTTCTAGTAGATAGACTTGGGTTTGAAGCAAGTTGGAGGTCTAGAAATTATGAATTATGGAATGTATGAATTACAGATTACAGTAATGTTCACTAGCATCAGGGCTATTTTTGGGCAGGAACGCACAGGAACGGAGTTCCGGCTGACTCCCAGGTTGGCCACGCCCAGCAGGAACTCATTAGCATAATAAGCCTCACCCAACAGCAGAAACATATTAGGATTGGCTACATTAGGGGTGTGTGGCCTAACACGCAAAGGAGTTCCTGCTACAAAAAAAGGCCCTGGGTTTTGACAACAAACAAGGTAAACAGAATAACAAGCGAAAGGTGGGTGTGGCTGGATAACCACACTTCTGGTAACGTGGGGGTGCAGCCTAATATGCTAATGAGTTTTTGCTGTTGGGTGTGGCCTATTATGCTAATGAGTTCTTGCTGGGCTTTTTCTACAAAAAGAGCCCTGACTAGCATACTTTAGAGCTTACTTTATGTATGTATTACTGTGGGACATATTGAAGCCTGGAGCCCCAATGCAGAGATTTTTGCATGAGGTCTCGTGTGTATTTAATAACTGAACACATTGACCTCCAAAAGCAGATGAGCAGTGTGTTCATATTTGTGGGATTATGTCCATCATCTAATCAATACCAGCTATGTGTCGGTGTATTTTATGTCTGTTTCTCAATCCAGTGTTGAAAACCATATATGTGATCCTGTTTACTGAATGTGAGCATACATCAGGATAATCATATAATTGTGCCGGACTGGAACAGTTCCCTCTCAAGCAGTGTAGTTACTCATACCTTCTGAAAATCAAACCACTGAAATGTTTCCAGTTGAGTTACCAGATCTAAGGCTCCAGAGTTAACACATGTAAATCTAGATTTTTGAGTCTGGTTTTGAGCCTCTTAATAGGTCTGCACTCTAGTCTTCTACTTAACTGCTAGACATTTTATTTTCTTAATAATAATAATGGAATGTTTTAAAAATACTTTTTAAATGGAATTTAGGAACTTGCATTTTGCTAACAAAATGGAGTAATGTTGAAGCTTGTTTTGCCAGTGATTAATTAAATGAGGGAGTGGAAGATTAGCTGATAACTGCACTCCATGTAGCATTATAGAAACTGTCATATTGCATTGAAAGAATACATGTTATGCTTACACATTTTTTATGATCGGAGTCCTGGTTTTAAGCTGCAGAGTTGTTTACATTGCAACTTTTGTATATTTTGTTTAATAACTTTAAAATGTGTTAGCTGTACACCTACAGAAGTCGGAGGTGGAGGAACTGACACAACTGGTACCAAGTACAGAAAAGGAGGCAAAGGCCAGTAATGTACAACTTGTTGTGCCAACTCATGAGTCAACATTTGAGATAGCTCCTAACCCAGAAGAGGAAACTATTGACTGTTCAGGAAGTGGTGATCAAGAAGTTCAGGGAAAGAAAGGCAAGTTGAAGAAAGTAGATGAGCATCATGAACAACATGAGCATCTGTCTGAAAAGGAAATGAGTAGTGGTGAACATCATCATTTGCATCTTTCCAGCTGCCACGAGTGTTTGGAACTTGAGAACAGCACTATTGAGTCAGTTAAGTTTGCCTCTGCAGAAAACATCCCAGATCTTCCTGATGATTACAGTGGCAGTTTTGAAGATGTTGGAAATCTGGCAGGAGACCTGAAAAGAGTAAAGCTTACTGGGAAACCTCCTAATATCTTAATTTATGTTGATTCTGATTCTGGTAAAGTCAAATTTGAAGAAATAAAATCAATCATCATGGAATGTGTTGATGTTAATGCTTACACTGTATACCAGCTGTTAGAGGAGCAAGTGTTGAGCGTTCCCTGGGCTGACAATGCATTGCTTTTGGTCATTGCTACATCACAGCCCATTTCAGATTCTGTGTCCAAACAATTTCTGGCATTCATGTCAAAAGGTGGAAAGATTCTGGGACTTTCAGCCTCTTTTACTTTTGGTGGTATACAAATAAAAAACAAAGATGAACTGACTGACACAGTACAGGCCTTGGTGTTTTCTAAAGATAAGGACAATGAGATTAAGCTAAATGTTCTAGCCAGTGGAAGAATTTTCAAGAGAGAAACTGCAGAAATCATCTCTGTGAAGCTCCTTGGTTACTTTGACAACACGGACAAAGATATAATGGTAGTTCAGATGCCATATGGAAATAGTGGGGGAGAAGCCATTCTTTGCCAGGTATGGAATACAAAGGGTATATTTTTAAGTATATTTTTAAAGGATATTGTTTGCAAACTGTGTATATAAACTGAAGTGTTAAAGCGTTGAATGGCAACAAATGTCATCCATACCTGAAAAGGGATGTAAAATTTCCAGAAAGTTTGGAGCCATGGGGAAGAAAATTCTCCATTTTTCTGTGGAAAACCCTTCCCCCCCAATTTGGGAGAAAATTGGAATATGTGCAATACATGTTGTTTATGTTTCCTATCAAACCTAAACAACATAACATGCATCATTACCATATAAAGTGGTACTACCCGGGATATTTATGGAATTTAAATATTCTGTTCTGTTACATGGCATTTAAATTTTCTATAAGAAAAATTGCAGGTATACCTAGTACTTGAGAAATAGCTGCAAAATGTGCTGCCATAGCATATCAGTATTCTCAGTGTGGCCACATCTGCGGATACTGAAACCCAGAGAGTGGCACCATGAAAAGACAAAACATCTTTCCGCAAACCTGAGAAAAGCTCCTTGTTTACAACAATAGTTCCAGCATTCAGGCCTAGGTTTCTGTCAGTAAAAGGCAGGGGGAGGAGCAGGGCCCTTTTCAGGGCTGTTGTGGCCTTTAGGGGAGGATTTATTGGGGTGAGGCTGGCAGCAACCAGTGGCAAGCCTGGCTGCTCACTACTATTCAACAGCAGCCACCACCCCAAAGCCACTGTGGTATAGTGGTTAGAGTTTCAGTAGGATCTGAGAGACCCAGTTTCGAACCCCCACTCTGCCATGGAAGCTCACTGGGTGACCTTGGGCCAGTCACATACTCCAGCCTAACCCACTTTACAGAGATGTGAGGATAAAATGGAGTAGAGGAGAATTATGCTTTGGATTGCCATTGGGAAGAAAGGTGGGGTATAAATGAAGTAAATAAAGATGAAGATTGGGCAGATAAAATGTTGGTTAGTGGGAAGGAGCGAAGGAAGCTGGGAAAGATG